AGAAAAGAAAAAAATAAACTAAAAAAAAGAATAAAAAATAACCTGAGTCAATATAACTAACCTGCAAAACTTGCGATCTAAATCATAAAATTATGATAACTCTATAGAGAGTAAATTAAACTAAATTATGAAGACTAATATCCATTAAATCTAATAAAGGATGAAATTGAAAAAAAATAAAATATGAAATTAAAAAAAGAAGAGTCCTAAAAAGCTTTGAGGATCAAAATAAAAAAAGAGCAAAACTTATTTTTTTTTTTTATGAATACTAATTCATATGATTAGATTGAGTCATGTACAATTGATTATCATTAGGAACCTGGGAAATTCTCTAGTAAACACAAACAACTCAAGAGGATGCTTTCTTATTTTAATATTGAACATCCGAACTGAACTGGTTATAAATATATATATCTATATCCTTACAAAGAGAATAGAAAAGAAAATAAACTGTGGTGCATGTGTTTTCATGCCTATTTACATGGTAATTGATTAGGAATTGGAAAGTGACTAGAAATCTAACAATTTATTATGAATTATTCAAACTACTAAGCAAATCATAAAAACTAGACCAACATTGACAATTAACCGTTTCAACAATTATTACTTTAAAAAATGAATCTTATTTAACATTTTTAAATGAGAATTTAGATGCGCAGTCTAGCTCATGAATAATCTATTTATCCAGACTAATTCCTCTCTTGTCAAACTTTACTAAGATATTCAATTTTTTAGAATTCAATTTTTTTTAGGATGGATGTTGACAACATGGAAAATTATATGAAATTGCAAGAGATTATTCAGATTGACTAGCATAAGTTCCAAATAAAGCCCTACAATGTTTAGAAAAGAAGATGAAGAAATTGCAAACCTTCTTCCTCAAGAATCATCATTCACTGAGGTGTAACCTCCATGATTGTAATACAAGAAGATTCAGGCTGAAGACTGTAACGGAGGGAAAAGTCGTTGCAAATTGAATTTCAGTTATAACCATACACACCGTTTTAATTACACGCAATACGCATGTCCTACCTTTAATATGCACCATTTTAATAAACTAGAAACAGAAGGAACGATAACTTAGCTCAACTTCCATAATGCCTATATAAAGAGGCAATTGTAACAAATAAAAACACATGAAATATAGAAGGATTATTATTTTATCCTCTCCCCTTCAGTCCTAAATTCTCTCCTAATCTTCCTCTTTCTGTTGAAATTCTTCACCATTAGTTTACACCCCCATCAAGTCGTATCAGAGCCTTATCTTCAGACCTTCAACAATGGCTCATGACACTAGATCTTAATATATAAAAAAAAATTGGTAAGGGCGATAGCAACGGCTAACAAGGAACAAGGTCAATGGAATGATAAGGTGGCAAAATTGCTAGAACAACAAGGGCAACATCAGTTCTCCAGCGACACCCGCTTGTTGAGATTGGAGGAGCTCATTTCAGGTATTTCACTTCATCAAAATGCTTTACTACAAAACTTACAACTACCTAGAGGCGAGACCAACTTTAATCAGGAGTATGAATGCAAGAAGGACATCCAAATGCGTTCATTAGCAAAGCTTTGGGGCCAAGGCAACAGGCTTTATCTACCTATGAGAGGGAAATGTTAGCAATCCTACTGGCAGTACACAAGTGGAAACAGTATTTGTGGGGCAGATCTTTCAAGATTAGGATCGACCATATTAGCCTGAAGTATTTGCTAGATCAAAAAATATCCTCTCCTCCTCAACATTTATGGCTAACCAAACTACTAGGATTTGATTACGAAATTGAATTTCGTAAAGGAAGGGAGAATGTTGTAGTTGATGCTCTATCTAGAATAACCAGTAGCGAACTTAATGCCCTCACTCCATCAGCAATCGAGACACCAATGCTAGATGACATCAATCAGTCATGAAAAGAAGATAGCAGGATCCAAGCTATTATCCAAGATCTAATGAAAGACCAGGCTGCATATCCTCACTATAAATGGAGTGACAACTACCTTTTTAGGAAAGGCAAACTAGTGGTGGGACATAATCCAACACTCCAACATCAACTCATATCAATGTATCATGATACTTCATTAGGAGGACATTCGGGTTCTACAGTCACTACAGCAAGGGTCGCCAGTATGTTTTACTGGAAAAAACAGTAGAAAATAGGTCAGACAGTATGTAAAAGAGTGCCCAACCTGTCAACACTGCAAAACAGAGAATGTGGCTAGCCCAAGGTTATCGCAACCACTGCCAGTACCAACCGCACCTTTCACAGATATCAGTATGGATTTCATAACGAGCCTCCTGAAATCAGAAGGCAAGGAAGTTATCTTTGTAGTAGTGGATAAGTTCAATAAGTATGCCCACTTTATGGCACTTTCACACCCTTATTTAGCTACCACAGTGGCCAAGACCTTCATGGATTCAGTCTATAAATTGCATGGGATGCCAGCAACCATAGTAAGCAATCGAGATACCATTTTCCTTCGTTAGTTTTGGAAGGATTTATTCGCCTTACAAGTGGTCAACCTCCATTACTCCACCGCCTATCATCCCCAATCTGATGGGTAAACAGAAGTGGTCAATAGATGCATAGAAGGCTACCTTAGGTGCATGACAGGCGACAATCCTTCACAATGGTGCAAATGGTTAGCTTGGTGTGAATGGTGGTATAATACAAACTTTCACACCACTACCAAAACTATACCATACAAAATACTACATGGTTTTTCCCCACCCATACACATCCCTTATTTCCCAAAAAATTCACCCTTGGAGGCAGTTGATCACTACCTCACTACCAGAGAACAATTGTTACAGACAGTCAAGCTAAACTTAACCAAATCCCAGAATCGAATGAGATAAATGGACAACAAAAAGAGAAGTGACAGAGTCTTGAAGTAGGCGATTCGACCTATTTAAAACTACAACCTTACAAACAGAGATCAATGCTTCAACCGCACTACAAACTAGCTACTAAATACTATGGTCCCTACACTGTAATCAAGAGGATAGGAGAAGTCGCATACAAACTTGACCTCCCATCTTCATCCACCATCCACCCTGTTTTTCACCTATCTCTCTTGAAAAGAACCGTGGGTAATCGAATGGTGCACCACAATTTGCCTAACAATCCAAGAGAACCTCTGCTACAACCTCAAGTAATCATGGATCGCAAAATGGTCAAGAGAGGGGTACAAGTTGCTACACAGGTCTTAATCCACTGGCAGGGGCTATCACCTGTAGAAGCAATGTGGGAGTTCTTGGACAAAGTGCAGTTAAGGTTTCCAACTTTTAACCTTGAGAACAAGGTGGTTTTGAAGGGAATAGATTTAATACAAGAAGATTCAGGCTGAAGACTGTAATGAAGGGAAAAGTCGTTGCAAATTGAATTTCAATTACAACCACACGCATCATTTTAATTACACACAATATGCATGCCTTATCTTTAATACGCACCGTTTTAATAAACTAGAAACAGAAGGAACGAGAACTTAGCTTACCTTCCATAATGCCTATATAAAAAGCTAGTCATAACAAACAAAAACACATGAAATGTAGGAGGAAAATTATTCTGTCCTCTCCCCTTCAGTCCTAAATTATCTTCTTATCTTCCTCATTCTGTTGAAATTCTTCACCATTCGTTTACACCCCCATCAGATTGAGAGCTCATTAATGGAGAATTTGAGATGGTCACGTCCAGATTGACCTGATGGAGATGATTCAGGGTTAGTCAATGACCTCGATGTTTGATGGAGGTTGTTCTGTACACGAGAGAATGCCTTGATGTTTGTTCCTCCACGGTAGAGTGCATAAAATACGAAGTTCTTGATGGTAATGGAACAACGACAGAGTTGCTACAAACTGAAGCCATGGTAGGTCTATCTGCTTCATTTTCTTGGTCCGATGTGAAAATCTTATCAATATCTCTCTCCTTGGAACAGCCCTTGCGATGAAAAGATTCCAACTGCCAGACCAAGAATCTGCATGCAGGCTTGGTTTTGTGGGCCTGATATCTAGTCCTAGAGAAACCCACAGTCATTATACAGGCTTTGGGTTAAGGATTATGACTTGACGAGTCCATGGGGTATTCCTTGTCTCATCTCAGTAAAAATGGCCCTCCTAAAGAGTTCGTCTGGTCCAGCTAGCACTAGCCCCATACCCCAAAAGTTGAACTCCGAACTTCTATGCCCGAAGTTCCGTGAATCACTCAGCATAGAGCTTCTAACCCATAATCCAGAGAGCTTCTCTCTCGGGTGATAGCCGGCCCTAAACTTTCTATCTGTCTTTTGTTTTCTTTTGCTGCCACTTAAAAGACAGCCCCCTTCTCTATATACGTGTGATTTACATTTTAAGCTTTAAATGGTATATCTGACGTGATATTTTATCCTATCTGCTATTAAAATACATGAATTAATATAAAGTTGAGTTTGAATACCCCTGGTTAGCCTGTACAAGTATATCTGAAATTATATATACAACAAAGCCCATAATCTTATTTGGATTCTAATTAGTTTTTTTTTTCCGTGCTATGATACAAGTTAAATTAGATTTTTTTAATATAAAAAATATTTATATTATTTAGTATTTTTATTAAACTTAATCTGCCGAGTCAATTGAAAATTCTTCTTCCTTAACTTATTACCTATAGTTTAAGATTAATTTTATAAGAATTGTCATGTTATGATTTTGATAATTTCAAATAAAATTAGAAAAATAAATAAAAACCTGGAATCTTATTTGGATTCTAAATTTATTTAACTAATAATGAGTAAAAAATTAATAAAAGAAGGTTGATTATTTTTTTTATTTTGTTAAAAATATTTTTTATATATATTTTTGAATTATTTTAGTATACTGATCTTAAAAATAAATTTTTAAAAGTAATAAAAAATATTATTTTAATATATTTTTAACTGAAAAATATTTTAAAAAAAACCCTGACACCTTACTTCCCAACACTTTATTATAATATTATAAAATACTTTTATTTCAGCAATCAAAAAAAAAATTTAAAGAAAAAGGCAAACACTTCAAGCATTGCAATGCAAGAGAATAGTCCTGAGATACAGAACAAATTATAGCATGCTTAACGGTGGACCCTCCATCCGCAAACTCTACCGAGGGTAGAGTTCAGTGATTGAAGCCTCATTGATTGAACATGGGACAGATGCACTTCGGGATTGATCAGACTCGGTCCAAGTTGATGTTGTCCCAGGCATTTCAGTACTGTGAGCAAAAAATGCAGGCTTCTGAGGTACTGGAAGAGTGACGGAGTAAGAACTTAGCATGATAACAACTGAAGCCATGTTTGGTCTATCAAGTGCATTTTCCTGCACACATAGCAAACCAACGTGGATACATCTCAACATTTCATTTCTTGAGCCAGCCCTTAATGTCGAATCTATCAGCTTATCTAAATTTGGTCCGCTATTCCAATTTTCCCACGTCTGCAAAATTTTAAGAAGAGAACAGCAGAGTGTTAGAAGGAAAGTGCTTTGCTCGATGTCTTTCCTGGCAATCTGGATCAAGAAAAATGCAAGTCAGACAGTATCATACTCACATATGTCAGAAGGTCTTCCACCTCCCCCTCATTGATAAAAGTTCTTTTTCTATCACTTACAATTTCCAAAACAAGCACACCAAAGCTAAAGATATCCGATTTGACAGAGAAGTGTCCGCGCATTACATACTCTGGAGGCATGTATCCACTGCAAATAATAATTTGTTATTGCATTCTTTTAGTTCAAGTCAAATAGAAAGAAAATTAACCAAAGGAACTTTGGTATTCCCTGATTTCTGATGTACACTTACAAGGTTCCAACAACTCTGCTTGTACTTTCTTGGGTTTGATCCCCTGCAAACAGCCTTGCCATGCCAAAGTCTGATATCTTAGCATTCATTTCTGCATCTAACAAAATGTTACTAGGTTTCAGGTCACGGTGAATGATCCGGAGACGAGAATCTTCATGAAGGTAAAGAAGTCCTCGAGAAATGCCTTCTATGATCTTGTAACGTCGTTCCCAGTCCAATTGTGAACGCTTGGTTTGATCTAAAAATTCAGTAAACTATGGCAGTTAGATGAATCAAAAAGTACTATGCTTTAATAAAGGAACTGCTGGTTCATGCTTTGTTTGCAGGAATTAGTTCTTTCTCTTTTTTCTATTTTTAGACAGTAATCTCCATCGAAATGTTTTGGAAGAGGAGGCATGGCCGCACCGAAAATGAAGTTGTTGAGGCTTGAGTTAGGCATAAACTCGTAGATAAGAAGCCTTTCCTCTTGTTCAAAGCAATAGCCTAGGAGCCTAACCAAATTCTTGTGCTGAAGTTTGGCCACCAGCAGGACTTCATTCTTGAATTCTTGCTCTCCTTGTGTGGAATCCCTACATAGTCTCTTCACGGCTATATATTGTCCGTTGGGAAGGGTACCCTGAAAGCAACAAGGGTGTTAGGAGTTATGACCACAACCATGTAGGAATGCTTGAAACTAACCTTCCAAGAATTCGATTCTCATTAGTTAGCAAAAGAAATATAGTAAAAACATCAATATCTCTAGCATATATATATATTTTAACACAGTCAACTCATTTTTGATGGATGCTAATTGATATATAACATTTCGATATTTTGTACCTTGTACACAGGACCAAATCCACCCTGTCCAAGCTTATTAAATTCAGAAAAATTATCTGTTGCAAGGTGAATGATTTCGAAGTTATATTGCAAGGATTCCACTCTGGTAATTTCATCATCCACTGATCCACCTGAAGCAGCAAGTAGGAGAGATTAAAAAAAACTATTGAATTGAACCAGATTCTGATGTGGCGTAAACTTAAGCAGTTACTGAATTGAACGAAGGAATTGAATATTCAGAAATCAATCTTTAACAGCCCAGGGGAAAACTTGATCTGAAATGCCAAAAAAAGTATTCAATATATAGTCCAGGACCTAATGGGCTTCCAGATGAACAAAAAAGAAAAATTATGTCTTACTTTTAACTTTCTCTCCTGATTTCCTCTTTCCTGAAAACGTGTAGAAGCTGATGATAAGAATCACCATGACAGACATAACAACTGAAAGAATGATGATGATGATGACTGTTTTGTTTTTTCCTGCAAAATCCATGAAATTATCCAGTTATAACATGTCAATTGTCACTTCACAGGAATTAGTCTGATAACTGGAAACAGTATAAGCTAGACATTTTCACAGCATTTAAAAAATTAAGGCAGACAATGATGCTAAAATTTTCAGGATATATACCTTTCGATGGAGGAGGAGATGGGTCTTCACCAATTGGGGTTTCATAGAATTGATTAATCTCGTACCTAAAATTACAGCTTGGATAAATGACTCTTCCTCCTTGCCTTTCCTGACAACATTGTCCAACACGTGCGGAAGCATTTCGGAGGCAGTTACTGCATTCTGTCTGTGACAAATCAGGAGTGCACTGCGAAAGTGCATATATAGTCTGAAAGTTTGGTGCGGCAGTACTGATTTTTCCCGTTGCATACTTACGACGAGAATCACCAGCTGCAGCTTTATCTTGTAGGCTATCCAACAAGCTATTCAAAGACCTGTTGAATCCTTTTTCGTCTGAGACATTCTTTAAGCTGTACACGAAAAAGTATGGGGCAACTTCATTGAGGCCAAATATGTAACGGCTTGCGTATCGTAATATACAATTGTCCAAACCTATGATAGCCTCCTTTTGAGTTGGACAGCGTGAAGTTAGTACCAGGCTAGAATAATTGAGGCAGTCGCGGCAAGCATCAGGCTTGACATCTCCTCGACAGAGTCCAATTGCATAAACCTTGTCAGGACTTTCTCCATAAGAAAAATTGTAAAACCCGTAATCGATTTCTGTGTTACTGTAAACAGAGTTGAGTAGGTAATTGAGATTAGCCTGGTAGGTGCTATTTGCTGTGTAGTTACCGTTCTCTACTACGCAAAGGTGAAAGTTGATTTCAGGCTGAGCAGTATGGGGAACAATAAAATACATGAAAATGGGACAAAGAAGGAACAGCATTTGCAAAAAAGCCATAAGCTTAATGATACGCTCACTCTTCCGTTGCAAACTTGTCTACGATGCTAAGAATCTCCGAATTAAATAAACAAATTTATGGTATGAACATTGATCGTCTTCTTTGACTTGGTATACGTGGCATATAAACAACATTTTCTTGCAAGTATCTATCCTCCACTTCAGTACAAGTTGATGTTTTTTTTCCTATGATTTTAATGTGTTGATATTAAAATAAAAACTATAAAAAATAATATTTTTAATATATTTTTTACCAAAATATTCTTTTAAAAAATACCATACATCACAATACAAAGAATACACTAGTCTATGTGCTTGCCCTACGCTGTCTATACAATGTGTAAACAATCTACATGTTGTGGAATAATTCGGTTCAAATTAAATTAAATTGAATGAATTTATTCGTTAAAATGTATAATAAATACAAGAATAGTTATAATTAAGACTCATTAGTAAAAATTTCCAATTTTATATCCAACAAGTTTTCATTCAACATATATATATATATATAATCGAAGAAATCAACATATGACGATACCTATATTGAAGAACCAAGCAATCGAATCATGATATGTGGTGTCCAAGAATTTTCTTCTAACATCAAATAACATGTATGATGAGTAGCTGCGGATAGGTAAATTACTATGTAATTTTTAGGGGCAAGTTACGAACAAGATGGGGACTTCAATGTAACACACGGAACTTTGTAATTTTTAGGGGCAAGTTACGAATAAGACCTTATTAAAATAAACTAAAGTGTAAGGATTGTAATGTGACCTTATTAAAATAAACTAAAGTGTAAGGATTGTAATGTGACCTTATTAAATAAACTAAAGTGTAAGGATTGTAATGTAAGGCTGCAAAACTTGGAAGGCTGTGGCCCCTCACGACCACCTACACGCTGCACCCGTCTATAATTTGAAATTAGTGTACTCGTGGTGGAAAGAATATATCAAACATAAAATATTTTAGTTGAATTATCTACTAAAATTATACAAGAATTTACCCTTTGTTAATTTTATCCTTAAATCTATCAAACATAAAAATAAATCTATCATTAAAATAATTTATGAATGAATTTCTATATTTTTAAAATAGGATTTATAGGAAAAAAATTGTTCCTTTCACTGCTATGCTGAATGTATAGTCTTCAATGGCAATTTTCTTAAAAAAATATATGCAAAAGATATAGTACATTTAATTATACCATGGGTGCTATTATATCAAGATAGACAGCATCCTTAGCCACTTATATATATAACCTTTTCAATTAGTTATAGATCTAACGTTTCTGATTTTTTAAATATAGTAAAGATATGAATTGTTTGTTTAAAACAAGATATGTGAAAAATACATGAGATTTTCATGTAATAAATTGTCTTTGTTGATTTGGAAAAACGGTGGATGTCTTCGTCATTGGCTATACGCGTGAAATTAAACGACCTAGATTTTATCTTAAAGACTTTTTGTCTCCTTTGCTTTGGATTCCCGTTCGTAAGGGAATCACTTCATTTAAAAATTTAAATTATTAAATTAAATTTTAAAATATAATTTATATTATTTTAAATAAAAATATTTTAAACTTGAAACCATGTATCTTTATGTTACTTTATATTTAATTTTTATTAAATAAAATAATAAAAATAATAAATTTATTTTTTTATCAAATAAAATAAAAATTGTATATGATTGGACTTTAGAGTTGCCAAGTCAAAGTCCTCAAACCTTTAACAAATTCAAAGTCCTTTACAGAAGAGACGTTCTAGCTCTTATATTATTCTTCACCATCACATTAACCTACACTTTTACCATTCAAACAAAACAATTACTCTCCTTTGCTCCAATTCTCTTATTAGGGGGTGTTTGTTCTTATGGTTGAATATGCTTTATAAACTACTTTTCATATTTTAATTCTTATGATGGGTTGATTGCTTGACTTGTGATAATTCTTTTCTGGTTCATAAACACGTAAATAATAATTTAGTCCCTGTATTTCAGTTATATAATACCTCAATCCTTCTAATTTCAAAAACCACATACCTTGCATACTTGTTTGTCTATGGCTGTTAATTAATTTTTTAAAAGTATACCTATTTTTTTTAAATGATCAAATTTCAGTGGGTTTCTTTCAATTTATATATAATCAAAATAATATTTTTAAAATAAAAATATGAGGATGTCATATTGGCTTCTTCTTTTTTTAAAAAAAGAAGGCACTAAATAACAGTTTACTCTTCAGATACTCATGGACATGGACACGTACATTATTGATTTACAAAACCTTACATGGTATCAGAGCTATGAGATTAATCTCCATCTGATCCTATGGTTTCAAAAAATTCTTCTTCTACTCTTTTCTTCAACACCATGGTTTACATGGTTAATATCAGACTATCTTTCACCAACTTTTTTCTTTGGCGAAGTCAAATGGTTTTTTTACTGGAGTGTCAAAAATTACATGGATATGTTGATGGCTCAACAACCTACCCTTACAGCATATGTTTCACTTGATGCTGCTAAACCTGGTATATAACAGAGGCGGAGGCAAGAATTTTTCATGTCCGGAGCTATTAAATAAATATATAATTTTTTAAAAAATTTAATTATTAATTAATGTATATAAATTTTTGAAGTTAACAATAAAGTTTTAATTCAAATATATTACTTAAAATATTAAAAAATAAATTTTAAAATACATCAAATTGAAGTAAAAAGTAAAAAAAATAAATTTTTTATTGAAGTTACATCATTCGATATTTCATAAAATATAATTTATCTATAATCAAATCAAAATTAATATTGTAACAACCCCTCAATCGGGATAAAATAACAATCAACAAAGTAATTAAAATTTTTTCCTCTCTCAATTCATCTTTCCCTTACTTGATTATTTCTTAGATTAGTGTTTTATAAGTTACACTTTATAACTTTACAAAGTTATTCCATCACTTTTTTTTTCTTGAATTTTTTATGTTTTTCCCTTATTTTTCTCTCTTTCTCTCTTGCCTTTTCTTTTCTTTCTTTTTTTATTCTACTTATGCCTAGTCAGCAACATATAAAAGGAAGGAAAATGTGATTTGTTTTATTTTTTAATACAAATAATTATTTTACTTTTAAAGAGTAGTTTTGCTTTTATTTGATAGTTTTTTTATTAGCACTACTAAGCTTCGTTCATCCTAACATATTTTATTCAATATATTTTAAGATTCTTTATAAAAGTTTAGTTTAATCTGATGGTTGGATTGAAAATTACGTATAATAATGTAAAACTAGTTAAATTATAATTTTTTATTAAATTTTTTAATCTCTCTAAAAATTATAAAATTTTAACCCAAACTAAAATATTATATTACAAGCTCCATGCAATTTTTTTTAAAAAAAATAATAATTTGATTAAAAATTATGAATTTTTTTTTTATATAAATATAATAAAAAATTATTGATAAAATTTCAACCTGGCTAGAGCCCACCCCAGCCCTTGGCATTCGTCCGCCCATGCCTGGTAGGTTGCCTAGCAAGACATTAATTTAGCATCTCCTGGAACTCATATTCCTCGGTAACATTATTCGTGTTTTACATCCACAAGTAACTTTGTTGGTGTTTTGGCCATACGAGGCACTGTAAAACCCGTAATCGATTTTGGTGTTGGAAGAGGAAGAGGAGAGAGGGTTACTGAGGTCTGACTTGTAGTTACTACTAAAAGTGACGTCACCATTTTCTGAGCAAATGTGTAACAGTTGTTTTGATTGTGAAACACTGAGGACAAGGAGGAGAATGAAATGACATAAAAATAGAGGTAAAGTAATTTCGATGGTGGAATTGCCATCGCACAACCTCACTTTCTCTGTGATTTTTGTTGGGTAAAAGTGGGCTGGCTTATAGTTTCATGGCACAAGTGGTAAGTGAGAAACGATCACAATCACAATGTGAAGTGGTGACTTTCATGTTTGTCCTCTTCCTGACAGCTTTCCTCGAACCAATCTCGAGTGCCAAATTTCATTGGAAAAAATAATTGTTCCCCTACTTTCCATGAAAATCAGATTTTTCAAAATTTTTGCAAAACCCTATGGAAAATTTAAACACATTGGCCACGACAAAAAAAAGAAAGAAAGAAAGAAAGAAAAACAATGGACTCTGTCGGATAGAACTTCTTTTATGGTTTGAAGACTAGTCTAGCTTAATATTTGTCAAGAAAGAAAAAATTATTTGCCTACTTTCTCATAAAAGTTGGGCCTACACGATGACCTACAATACTACATTTATTGTGTTGGAAATTCAAAACTTGGATATTGAAGACTTGGAGTAACAAAACCCTGTGGTAAATTACAATTACAAATATATATATATATATATATATATATATATATATATATATTAAAAGAAGAAGGTAGATTATTGTTGCCTTCAAATTCAGAATTGTTAGCTTAGTTAGAAAATTAAAAAAAAAATTAATATCAAATTATGGATAAAAAAACATTACATTTTAAGAAATAATTAATACTTTTTTTATTGATTTCAATTGTTAGGGCTGAATTGATGACATATTTAAGTATATTTATTAAGAAAGGAAAATTTTTTTAAAAGAAATAGGAGTAAAGTGGAAAGGGAAAAAAGGATGGTAGTTTCAAAATTTATGAGAAAGTTCATTTTGGTTCTTTTGTTTGCTAAGTTATAGATTTTTAGGTTTTTTTTAATATTTAATTTTAGTCTAAAATTTTATTTTTATTATTTTTTAATCTTTTATTTAAAAGAAAAGATGGAAAGAGTCATCAAATTCATGATTAAGAAAGAAAAAATATCAGTTGATACCAATTTCAACTATGAAAAAATCAATCTTAATGTTAATAGGTTTGATTCGATAAAAAGAGTTTTATTAGGGTATTTTTAGGCACTATCATCACTAAATTTGGGGTATTTAGACTAATTTAAGGATTATTTAAGGTTATAAATAGGTTTCAAAGTTTTTAGAGTGTTTTCCATGTATTTTAAGTAAAATATTTATTGAAAATTAAATTTTAACATAAAATACTCATGTCCTGGCTTTCTGGCAACTCTCTAATGATTGAAATCTATTCCAATAGATATGTCATCTGTAATGATACTATTTCTTCTTTAAAAAAAAAAGAAAAAAAGTGA